TGCATACATACCATACATATATAGTATCCTGGCGCGAATGCCTTCGCAGGATCTGTTGTTCCACGGGGACACCTTTTTCGGGGACTCCCCCGCATGCACGTGATTTTTACGCGGCCAGTGCACTTAATTCAATTTGAGCCGCCGCACCGATGATAAGCCACCAACCTCAGCCGCGTGCCCCAAAAAGCAGCAGCAGCAGCATCAGCACCGCTGAGTTTTCCATAATGCGTTCGCCCCTTAAATCAATTAGAGCCTTCATAAACGTCAAAAACAATCCACTCTGCCCAGCTGCAGGCATCCAGCTTCCCAGTTTCACGTTCTATGCCCGTTCTATACTCCATCCAGCAGCTGTAATGACTCTTGAACTTGACATTTTCTACTCGGGAAATCCCCCGTCACTGTCGGCCTGTCACTTATATTTTTAATCTCCTCCAGCAGCAGGCGACACACTGGGAAACTCCCCAAAACAAAAAGAAAAAACTGTATATCAACTCTCGCATATTTATATCTAGATCTGGGGGAGTGAAAAGTTAAGTAAGTTTGGAGTTCTCCTTGGCTCCCATTCTTTTTTAGGGCGATTAACGCGAATGCGCAATTGAAATTAATTGTCAGTCAAAGTGGAAGTTGCAATGGGGGGAGATTGGCGTTGCAGTCTGAGCTGCTTTCCTTTCCCCCACGAGGCAACTCCGATGGATGGAAGAACTCCTCATCTCGCACGTGTTAAAAACGAATTTTTATTTTTATCTTTATCCGAATGGAAGCCCTTTGCCGTGGCAACCGCCGAAACGTATGCCGCAGTCTGTTGCCGCTGCGTGTTGCGCCCACATGTGGCGCAAATTATGTCAACGTGGATTTCGTGGAGTCAACTTCGCTTCTGGGGATATCAAGCCCACGATCCCGCCTCCCCCCAGTTTTTGTTTATTTCCAGGCAACGCCAGCAACTCTTCTTCCCAAATGAGCCGTGCAACACAATTTGAATTAATAAATTTAGGTATAAATTACAATTCCTTTGGCTGGCTGTCTGCAATGTTTATAGACGGCTCCTTGATCTTTGCCAGCAGCGGAAGTATCAATTAGGGATTGGAAAATTTATGAAATGTTAAGGAAAAGCAATCCAATCACTTCGAGTATTAACGCCACGCGACAGGATGTTTATGTGCAGGGCCGCAAACCAGTTTGAAATGTTTGATTTGATCCAGAAACTGGAAGTGCGATAAGCTGTGGCAACTACAAAGTAACCAGCACCTACAAAGCAACCAGTAATGACATCAAATACTTCGAACCAGTTTTGCAGTTCTCGAATTGCAGCCTCTGTGTTGCACGCTTCATTTACCCCGCAATTTGCATCTGCCCCCTTTTGATGGGGCAAGCTTATTTTTACATTTGCCAAAGTGCGCGGCATCTGGTATCTGGAATCCGTTGATGCGGCTCAGAGATGCGCGAACTTCCGGCCAAGTTGCAATTGCAATCTGCGAACTGCAAGTGCAACATTCACATATGTTGCGCATGTGCCGATGCACCTAATGCACCGCTGCCACTTGAGACCAGAGATCTGAGACCCGAGTGGGAAAACGGAAAAGCGGCTCATATGCATATTTCAACGCCTTTTCAGAAAACACAAAACATGAGACGAGACCGGGGGGAAAACGGTAGCCGAGGAGCCAGACACAATCACACAAAATCATATCAAGTATCGAAGGAAGCTGACAGCGATGGGATAAACAAAGAGGCAAAATATGAAATAACAATAGCGCCGAAATGGGAAGAGAAAGGGAAAGGGGCCAAAACGGGTGAGGGCCTAAAAAAAAACAAAAGGGAGTTCAACGTTCAAAAGTAGACAAGGCGGATACAAGTGCAAACTAAATAATCACTGCGAGAAAATAAAGATACAAATTAATGTGCCTAGATACTAATTAAATACCATTTCTTATTAATCTTTAGATACAAATAATAATATTATGTATACCTTCAGCTTAAAAATTAAATTAAACTGATTTTAAATCCTTTCTTTAAAAACCTCTAGATTATATACCTTCTTAATGATTAGATGCTTCGTTTATAAACACAAACTACTCGTACAATGATTGCTTTTGAAAAGAAAAGGTGCTTGCTTGTGATTCCCCGAGTTTTGTCAGTGCTTTTCCCCTATGGGTTTATTTCAAAGCCTTTGTTTGTTCCTCTCGGCATGTGCATGAGTGTTTGTCCAAAACTTGGTAACTTCTCCGGCTTGCCATTTGCATTTCCCACGTTGTCGAGGCAGCGGGGAAAACTTGTGAGTAAGAAAAGCCAAAGTCAACGTCAAAGTTGAACGTGTCAGATACAATTCCATCGCTGCCGCTGTTGCTCTGCTGTTCTGCTGTTGTTTTCCTTGGATTATGTCTTTGTTTTATATATTTCGGTTTGATCCAAAGAAGCTGGCAACTGTTAATTGGAATTCGGACTCCCCTCCTCCCTTCCCTCCCCCTCCCTCCTGTCATCCCCGTTTATGGTGAAATTTATACAATCTTTCTATTTGGCAGCGCAGCTCAGGGAACCGAAACAGAAAGATAAATATACAAAATTAACACGTACTCAGGTGAAAATGAGCAGGTAGTTACCCATGTGTATGTGTGTATGTGTTTACTTTCGAAAAGGACGGCTCACACACAGCGAGCACTCGTAGAGCAAATAACCCTAATAAATAAGCCAAGTTGCTCAATTCGGAGGGGCAGATGGGGGAAGGGGGATGGGGCAGGAATCGAGTTCCAAGCCAAGATGTTCATGAAAAAAGTTAATTAAGGTGTTTGCCCAACAACAACGCCGGGCATTATATGCTAGATATTTATCTCCCAGTGGACAAGGATGGCTAGAGGGGAATTGGATGGAGGCAACCGATTCTGGGTTGCATGCCTCGGAGTGTTTGCTTTTGAAATGTTTGTCATTATCGTCGTTAACTTTTTGATGAGTCGAACGTGTGTGATAAAAGTGTCACAAGGATTGAAGAGAGCGCAGCAGCAGCAGAGTGAAAGGAAAAACTAATAACACTGGCGGCAAGAATAATTTTGTACGTGTGTGCCATGTGAGAATGAGACGCACACAGATACACGCACACGCGGGCAGCGGGCAGCGCGTCGAATGTATCTTTCGGATACCAATTGCCATTAGTTTATTGAGAATCTCAAATTTATGGCACTGCGTGTCGTGGCCAACCACGCACAAATGGTCACAAATCTGGGCCTGCAACACATGTGGGCCGCCTCCATATGTGTGTGTATGTATGTGTTTCTTTGGTTCCTTTGGCATTTCTGTGGCACGTACGAAATTCATTTGTTGCACTATTTATGTCTCCCTGATGAAAATGAAATCAAATTAAATTTTCGGCACAATTCAAAGTGAAATTTTGCAGCTACAATAAACAAGGCAAATGAGGAATAAATCTCTCGGAGAGCCGGCTTACGTGCGGGTGATGGGTTTTCCCATGTAAGAGCATTGAATGGGAAATTGCTGGAATTTCCTTTTGGCCAGAATTACATGCCCGTACTTAGGTAATATCTGAGATATTTTCAGCATATCCTGGGAACTGGGAATAAGGAAATTCAGCAGACGAAGAACCAAAGCATACATATGTAAAATATTTGTCAAGGTCAATTATTAGCACACTTTGTTTTCGATATATGAAAACATATTTGTTCTTAGGCAATATTATAAATTTTGTTGTGTGCTTAACAATTTTTCCTTTTCAAGTTCTCAATTTATATCGAAATTACTAGGAGAGACATGACAGATACATTGCTTTTCATATGCGTATCCATGTTTTCCGACCGGCTTGCATAATTACTGAAAACACTTTCGTTGGGATGCGATTTCCATATCCATTTCCCTTTCAAACTTCACACGCTGCTCCCCCGGGAGCTGTTTCCCGTCCTTGTCTCGCATGCGACAGAGCGAGAAGGGCGATGTGGAAGTGTAGTTTTAATTGCCAGCAACAGCAAATCTTCTACGTGAGGGCAATTACATTTTACATTTTAGAGCGCGAGGGGAGGAGAGGATCTACGACTAATCAACTAATAAATCCATAATCACTGTTATTACGCATGCTGCCTGAGATGCTTAAGCTCAAATGCCAACCGGTTAAAGTTGGCTAACAAGAAGCAGAACTAACTGGCCAACAACAACTGCCGGCTTTTCCCCCAAAAATGAAAACAAAACAGCAGAGCGCCTTTCATTACTTTCTCTTATACTCTTATACCCGGGGAGTACCTGTATTTCAGCTGTTTCCTTCTCTCTCGCATTACAAATATCGCATGCGATTTGCCCGCAGTTGAACGACCACAGATACGAGGACAATTCGTGTGACTCTTAGTTACTCTCCCTCGCATCACTTGTCTCTCTACTTATGAACGGTATTTACAGGGTGTAAGTATATACATACTTTGTTTAGCAGGTTGTTTTCAACATAAATTTATTTGAAATTAAATTAGGCAAAAATAAGAGATTCAAATTGTTTTCTTATTAATTAAATTTTTTAATGTTTTCTTTGACTAATTTGACCTTGTTGGCGATTACTTATCAGCTTTGGCCAGCATGAACTTGGGATTAGTGAGTTTTTTGGGTTTTTCTGTTTTGCATTTGAAACTTATCAGTTTTATTTTTTTTGGTCATTCTTTTGTTTTGGGTAATGAGGGAAATGTTAAAGAATTTTTAGGTCTGCCAGACTTTAGACTTTTCTCCTAATTTATTTAGTTATGTACATACTTATCAAAGATTATTAATTTCGAATTCCAACTGGCATAATAGTTTTACTTTTTTTTAACGTATATTAATTTATTTATAATTATATAGCAGTTAACCCCAAGTTGAACAGAGTATTTCACTGTCGACCCCTAAGTGTTTTCTGCTTCCGTTTGTTCGCTCACTGTAGGTATTGTTAACGAACTGAGAGATCCGACGAGACTAGCTTATACTCCACCATGCTTTCTAGCTGTTTCAGCTCTCATTTTCCGTCTGGCAGTTTTTTTCGAACCGCCGAGGAGAAAGCACGCTTAGCGCTTGCCGCAGTTGGATTTTTGGGTTTTCCAAGCCAGAGTCGCGCGTTCGTGAGTTGTGGGCCGCTTTTGTTTGTCTCTTTTTGTGGCCAGCGATTTGGCAACCGATGCGAATAAGCCAAGTTAAGAGCAACGCAACAACGCAGCACAAAAACAAGACACAAGGCGCAATTAAATGCAAATGTGTGAAAGTGTACCGAGTATTTAACAGAAAAAAGTACAAAATTCGCGGTTAAAAAGTGCGAACAAGCGCAAACAGAAAAGCTAACAGTGCCAGTGCGTGATTGTTCGTGCCAGCTACATAAACCGAATTAAAATTAATATTTGCTCAAGAGATCTTGGCAGTTAACCTCACATTTAGTATAACTTATTAAAACGGTAAGTATTTACGCCTTCTTGTTCAGTTATTACACTTTGAACCTCGCCATCTCGCTCTGTCTCGTTATCTGTCGTTCAATTTTGCTTTGTGCTAAGCTTCGCTTCGCGCGCGCTTAGATCTGCCATCTCTTTTCCACTCGCCGATCACTCCCAATCGTCTATAATTGCACAGGAAAAAAAGCTTTAAAAATTATTATCTACTTATCACTTTCGTTCAGATAACAGTATTTCCATTTTCTGGCAGCAAATAACCGACATGTAATAAGATGAAAACTATACAAATAAGTAATGAAAAGTAAACTTCATACATTAAAATGATTTACAAAAGTTAATATATTCAAACCCTTTTTTTTCTCTGCAATTAAGCCATGAATAACTGTTACAACAATTGTTACCGTTGCTCAATTTTCTCCAGTGGTTGTATGTGTCACTTGTTGTTCACTATTTCCGCGGTTTTTCACCTCACTTTCATGGGAAATGCGAAAAATGCTGCAGTGCAATTGCAAGTGCTTTTCGGCCTTGGGGTGTGTATTGCGTTTCGGCGAAGAAAAAACACAGAAATCAAAGCCACACGCACTTGGCCCGCGCTCAAAGCTTTACCCATCACATTAGCACTCTGATTTTGGCCAAAAACCAGTTTCGATTCGAGACAAGCAGACTCGACAAAAGTTTATTTACTCCCAAAGAGAGCTTCGTTCAACAGGTTTTTTTTGCGGGGACTTTATTTGTTCAGAAGGTGGGAATTTCTGTTGCAGTTCGGCTTTGTGCAATTAAACGAACGTGATTTAGACGATTATTTATAGAACCCTTCGATTTAGGATAAACAGAGTTTCCAGTTACGTCGACTTAAATTTAAGAAAGGGCTGTAAACGTTGCAGGTAGTTCTAGGGCCAATAATATTCTTAAATCACGTAAGAACGTTTTAATTAAAGAAAGGGGAAAAACAAACTTTCTTGTGACGTCAATTATGAATGTAAAAAATGTTATTGCTGGTTTTCTCAGAACCAGAGATCAATAACATATAAGTCCCAGATCTTTTCAAATAAGTTATTAATTAAGCCTCTGTTTTTCTTTGTTAAAATTTAAATTATTTCATTAGTCATTTAATAGAACTAATTATTAAAGACATTCAAAAATTCCCATTACTGAAATGGTTTATTGCAAATGACCTATGATAGACCTCGCATACTGTTTACTTTTGCACATTGGTCTTTCCCAGTGCTCATAAATCTCTTTTATTTGATAACATTTTCAAATTTACGGAATTTACCTTGTTTAAAATCTATGAAGATAATAGGAGTCTCTGCTTCCTATGCTAAGTTCAAAGCTTATCAGGAGTCAGAATGTGCAATCTTGACTTAAGAAAGATTTTGTTTCAAGGAAAAATGTTCTATATATTTATTAATATTGAACGTACATATTTCGATTTTCCGTTATTATTCTTCTTTATAAACGCCTTTGGCTTCTCCTTGTAATTGTAGTTAGGATTTGGGTTAAGATTTTTCCTCTTTGGCACAGATCAAAAGCAGCCAGCTTTGAAAGCAACTACAACAATAGGGGCAAAAAAATGTGAGTCTCTCCGTCTGTGAAGGTAAAACTGCGGAAGTCATTTAACAGTCTACTTAACTTTTGCCAAAAAGCCCAAAAAAAAAAAAAAAAAAACAATGGAAAAATGAAGTAGAAAACGGCAAACTGGAAACGTTCAAGATGCTCCGCTTGGCTCTTTGGTCTTGGCCACGTTAGAAAGTAGCTGTAATTGTGGCTCCGTTATTGTTATGGCCAAACCGCCACTCGTTCAACTGCAGGCGGTAAAAGTTGCCCAAAATGAATTGTCATACAAGTTTGTTATAAATATTTCTGCACTGTCTGAAAAATGAAACAGTCATACACATTTAAGATTCATTGTTGTGTATTCTCTTTGTGGTGTTTTTGAGGGCGTTTGTCCACCGACTTGATAAGCGAAAAGACAGAAAAACAATATTTGAGGCTGGCTCCGGTTAGGTTTTTTACATCTGCCAAGTGTTTTTAAGCTGTTTTTGCTATTTCACTCTTCGTTATTGTCGGCTTGTGTTTATAATTAGCAAGTCTGCTTTGAGTGTTTCTATGACTTGCGATCCGCTCAGCGGGATGAGTCAGCTTCCGAGAGAAGTGAGCGTGGCGATCGATCTCCCAGATGCCTTACTCTCTTGATCTCCGATCAGCGGGCGGTTAAACCCAAAGTCAAACCTGATCGGTGACGTAAATGGGGGCCGTCTACTATACACAACTAAAACTAAAACCTATTATTAAATGTAGATCGAATGTAAAAATAGGTATTCATATTAAAAGAAAAAGAAAAGGGATACAAGTTTTTCTTTGTCGTTTACCGATCACTATTAAGTCACTTTAAAGCTTTATACATATCGTTAATAAAACAACTTTATCTCTCTTTGCAACATCTTCTTTTTCTTTGGGTGTACCTTCGACGTGTGAGGTTCTTTACTCACTAATCAGCATTCGATTGTAATGTGATAGACCTGCTGGGACAGTCGGAGGGTTTATTGCGTTGCATTCAATTAATTAATTCCCATTTTATTGAGTCAGCTGACCATACAATCGTAAAGGGAGGAAGAGCCATAAGATACCCACTGCGACATTCTGTGGAGGGAAATAAAGTCGTTGCACTTGCTTTCACCCTAATGCCTTCATCAGCTGCACAAACGAAAAATCTCATTAATTTTCCACTGTCGCTCTATCTTTGGGATATCTCTCTATTGTTTGTCCTCGTCCTTTTTTTTTTTTGGTTGGCCCTACCTGCGTGCAGAAGTTTTCCTTTATCATGTTTTTGGTCGCGACATGTTTTCTGATCCGTGTCCTGTGCGCTGCTCTAGTTCATTAGATGGACTTGGCTAATCGATTTCCATAATCAAACAGCTGGCGCCAAAATGCTCTCTCGCGGAGTGAGACATTCCAAATTAACCAGAGTAAATGTTGATATAATAAACCTCTGGCTGGGCCAATTAGGCCTCATTCTCCACCTGGCAGGCCCACATATTTTCTCATTTGAATAACGAAACACGGCCACAGCAGGGGAAACATTAGACGCGCCTAAACGTGGAAATTAGCGGCCGCGGAAAAACCAACAAAAAATTCCAAATAAAAAAAGCATACGAAAAAAAAGAGAAATTTAATTAAAGCCGCATAGAAAAAATGCATAAATTTAGTCACCCAAACACCCACCTGGCATGTAATATTTGTAACCTCAGGGCGGGGTAAAAAACGTGTAATTTTCACGGTCCCCGAGCTGCAGCTTTTCAGCAACTTGGCGGGTCAGTCCGGCACAATGATTAGGGTCAGTGCTGGGTGGCATGCCCCCAAAAGGAAAACTCCTGCCATCTAGCAGCAAAAGCAAAAGCAAAAGCAACAGCAAAAGCAGCAGCAGCAGGTTGCCAACAATTTCTGCTTATAATTTTCCGTTTTTCATCCTCCTTCTTTGCCTCTCTTTGTTCTGGCCGAGATAAAAGCATTTGTCATTAGCATAAAATGTTCTGGCTCAGGTTTTGATCTGGAGTTTGGCCCCGAAAAAAAGGGAATATTTGAACTTCATTAGTGGGCCAGCTAGCCCAAATGGGCACTTGGCTATAATTAAAATTTAAGCTAATTTTAATGCTCAAAAACGAGAGGGGAATAGAGCAGTAACTCGGCAACAATCTGGGGCAGATATTAAAAATACCTCAAATGGTGAATGGTAACCGCTTGATTTGACTTTAAGAACGAGCACGAACTCTGAGGAGCACAAAGTGAAAGATAATTTAGGGAAAATGGAAAGCCTACGCTTGCCTATTGATGGGCATTCGCTGATAGCATTGCCCACGCAACATTAAGAACAGGAAAAGCCTCTTTTGTAGGTGTAACCAAATGACGAATTCGTCATCATGCCTCGCCGAGCACCCTTGACATTCGAGGAACCCTCGCAAACGTCTCAAGATTTAAGTCGCTGATAAGTCAAAACCCTACTTAGATGGCCAAGATGCCACGATAGCACTCCCAAAGGGCAACACTCAACGCCTTGCGTGGATGGTCAGCAATTAATGGGACTTCTGCAGCTCCTCCTTAATGATTGATATCCGACGAGCGGGCCTGGGAAAATGTTTTGCCACACCAACACATTGCCCCGACATGATCCCCAATAACCGAAATGTCAGGAGCCAGCCCCTCGAATTTACATCAATGGCATATCGGTTGAAAATTTAATAGCACATTAAGGGCGGACAAGGACTAACATTTGCATTCCTAATGAGACGGACCGCCACGCACATAGCCATAGCCCGACTGCAATTGGTGGGGACAGCCGGAATTATATAGCAATCAGTCGAGGACTCAAATGTGTCAATATGTTTCCGTCAAGGGATGGGGAAAAGGGAATGTGAAGCCATGTGTATTGGACTGTCTGCAATTTTTATGCAGGCTATATAAACAATTCACTCCGCTGCGAAATCAGAGCAAGACCGAGGGCTAGGGAACATGTAAATCAATACACAACAAATACACAAACAAATTATAAATGCAAACAGAGACGAGGCAGACAAATCGGCCAGACAGAAAGAAGCGAAATGTCCGGCTGTTTGCACAGATTGACGCCATTAAAATCAACGTATGACATTTTTTGTTGTTTGCGGACCCCCGCCTCCACATATTCGACAAAAAACAAAAACATGTATGTATAAATCCAGGCCACCTCTTAGATGGCAGTCAATGATAATCGGCCAGCGACGGACAAACAACCAGAACCCAGGCCCAAACACGAAGCAAAATCTGAGCTCGATTCTTGCATGTTTTAAGCTGCCCGCTGTGTGGATCCACACAAGAGGTCGTAAAAACAGAGTGTCATAAACATAAAATTGATTTTGATTTTAGTCCGCCGTTCCTCTGGGCATTTCCCACTCTCCCTGTTGTATAAATCTGGTTTTTGGGACAGTTTGGGGTGTGCTTAATTTTTAATCGAGTCCCGTGGGCAGACC